CACGCAAGAGTGACCCTGGGTACGAGTGACCGTCGGTGCGCGGCTTTAGGCGGGGCCCGGGTAGGCCAACAAGCAAGCGCGCAAGACGCTGCTGTCGGACCGCGTTCGCCGACCGGGGGACCCCAATGGGCCCGCACCAACGAGTCACCCCGGCGGAAGGTCACTCCATACGTCTAGTCGACGGGGATGGTCTGCTAGGGGTCCTGGCAGCCCGAGGCCGAGGCTCGTCGACGCTGCCGGAGCTGGTCCGAGCATCGTCAGGAGTACTGCCAGAGCTGAACCCATGTACCGCCCCCCGCTGCGACACCAGCGCCACACGCCTGGAGGCGGCCGTGGGGGGTCTGAACTGGCTGGGACCCCAGAAAATCAACCACAACGCGGCCCGCGGGATCCGATGTTTGCGCTTCCAGTCGCCAATTCTGGCGCGAACGCTAAAATTTTGGGGTCCCAGGACGCCGCCACGTCGCGGGAAAAACTTGAATTTGATTTCGAGGGGTGATGCAGGAGGGAGGGATGAAGCCAAATGCTCCAAATCGGCCCCCAAATTCCTCCCGGGGTCCATCTGGTGCGGTTTTTCGCCCCGGATCCGTCTTTCACAGTCCTGGGCCCCGAATTTGGACGCCCGATATGGGTACAGAAAAAATGGGTACAATGACCAACAACAGATGTTGTCCCGAACCAACAGCGGCCGCTGTTGGGTAGGCGGCCTCCTGTCTCGAATGGACACCGGCCGCGGCGGCGTGGACAGCGAGTGTTCAGAATGAACAGGAACTGCTGTTGGGCATTGTACCCATTCTTCCCGTGCCCATCCCGTTCGTGCCGACCGAAGACTGGCCCCAGACGCACAACAAAAACAACAACAACAACAAAAAACTTCCCGAACCCGGAACCTCGAACCTGCCCGCCGCTCCTGCTGGCTGGCACCGGTGCTGGGCCACAACAGGCCCCCCGACGACTCCGACCGCGCGCTGCCTCCGGCTCGCCTGGCCTCGCGCCTGGCGCCCCGCGCAGGGCGCGCGCGAAAACGCCCTGGGGGGCGGGCACAGAGCGCTTGCCTTATGTCGGGCCTGTCCCCCTACAGGGGGATTTTCGACGAAAAATTACAAGGTGAAAGAATACTCAAAAAATAGTCCCCAGACTATTTTTGGACTATTTCTTGATTATTTGGGGGGGATTTTTTTCCGTCGAAAATCCCCCTGTAGGGGGACAGGACCGACTTAACGCTTGCCCCAGCTCCGGAGCCGTGCTGCATCTTCGGGGGGCCTCTTGTCTGTCCCGTCGGGACGCGATCCGTGCCGAAGCCGTGCCGAGTCCGTGTCGAATCCGTGCCGAATCCGAGCCAGACGCGCGTCAAACCTCCGTCCTGATAAGAAGAAAGGCCTGCCATCTACCGGACTAGAGGCCTCCTAGATGGGGTCCGAGCAGATGGGGTCGGAGGATCTCGCCGCCTGGCCCGTACGTCGGCGATACCTCGCCGATGCATTGGCGATGCATGGGCCATGCACTGGCGACGTCGGCGATGCATCGGCGACGTCGGCGTGGAGAAAATTGGGCCCCACATCGAGCCGCATCGCGGCGATGCATTCCCCCATGCAGCGGCGAGGCGGCGCGATCCTCCGACCCCATCGAGGAGGCCCAAGAGGGCCGGAAAGGCCCCCCGAAGATGGAGATGGAACCGCGGTGCGGACGACCGCGAGAGGCGCGCTGCGCGCCCCTGCGCGGGGCCGGCGCCACAGCCGAGGGCGCTTCCCGCGGCCTCCGGAGGCCAAGGCTTCGGTTTACCCAAGAGGGGGTGCAGCTGAAGGGTTTGCCATGCACGCCCTGCCGTTGCATATCCGAGAGGGCTTGGCTCTCCGGCGCCGACCCCCCCCCTCTCTCCTCCCTCGCAGCGTGATGTGCGGGAGCTGTGTTGGGGTTGCCGCTCTGTCGACCCGACGAGGACGACTGGTACGGTGGGAGACCATGCCAAGATGCACCCTGCAGATGCACCGCGCCGGAGAAGCGCATGGCATTGCAGTGCAACGAACATGCTGCACGCGAGGATCCAGCCACACACTTGCGCCCAGGAATGCACTGCACGCCGCAAATCCATTGCAACCCACAAATCTACTGCACCAGATCTATTGAACCATCCCCTGTTCGCTGGACCCCCGAACAGTCAACCAGAGTATCGGGCGCCGCGGCCTTCTCAGAGCGTTCGGAAACACTCTGAGAGCGTTCCGGAACGCTCTGGAACGGATTCGTCCTCGTCCTTCGGGAGACGAACAGGTGCCGATACCGCGACTCCCTGGACCCCTCCCGGGGTGCGTTCTGGCCAGAATTTCGAAGCGAATCCAGCGGTGGCGACGAGGGCCTCCAGGAGGCTCAACAAGGGGAAAACTGGGCGAAGGGTAGTGGTATGGGTAGACGTTCCTCCTCTGGGCCCCCCGTGGCTCCTCAGTTGGCCTGCGGCCTCCGCCCGGTGCAGCCGGCGCCACTGGGGGAGCCACGGGGGCTGGGGCGCGGGCGAGTCCGCGGGGGCGCTCCGCCCCTCGATCGTGCCACCGCCCACTTCGCCCCCCGGGCCAGCGGGGGAGGGGGGGGAGGGGGGGGAGGGCAAGCTATAGGTGCGCTCGCGTCATATCTGGCATCCTACCCCTCCCTCCCATCCTTTACCGTGGCGCAGATCCCCTCTCTACTCGCACAGTTGAATGTCAAGCAGGGCGATGATCCCGAAAGGGTACGCGATGCATTGTAGAGCACGGCATGGCATGGCGTAGAAGAGCACCGCGAAGCGTAGCATCAACCTGGCATTGTATAGCATGCCGTGGCATGGCACGGGAAATGACGCCAGCGCTGCAGCGGGAGCACGAGTCGAAACGAGCGGAAGCGCGAAAATGAGGCCAGCGCTGCAGCAGGAACACGATTCGGAACGAGCGGAGGCACGGAAATGAGGCCAGCGCTGCAGCGAGAGCACGATTCGGAACGAGCGGGGCCCGCGCTTCAGCGAGAGCAACATTAATTTTGGGAAAAATTGCAAGCGAAAGCCTAACTCCGGGGAAGGCTTCCCGGGCGCTAGAAGCAGAAATTCAGCATTTTCGAAAGAAGAAATTGTTTTGGAATAGCTTTTTTTCGGCGCCGCCTCGGAACTCGATTTTCTGGCGCCGGCCGGAACCGGCTCTGGACCCGGCCCGGGCGCCGGCCCGGAGCCGGCTCGGGCGTCCGGCCGGGGCGCCGGCTCGGGCGCCGGCCTGGGCGTCGGAATCGGCCCGGGAGGCCTCCCGGGCGCCGGAAGAAGAAAATCAACATTTTCAAAAGAAAAATGTGTATTAGAATGGCCTTTTTTCGGCGCCGCCTGGGAACTCGATTTTCCGGCGCCGGCCGGAACCGGCTCCGGACCCGGCCCGGGCGCCGGCCCGGGCGCCGGCTCGGGCGTGCAGCCCGGGCGCCGGCGGAAATGATGCCAGCGCTGCAGCGGGAACACGATTCGGAACGAGCGGAGGCACGGAAATGAGGCCAGCGCTGCAGCGAGAGCAGCATTTTGGAAAAAATGCAAGCGAAAACCCAACTCCGGGGAAACCTGTGTGTAAAAAACAATACGCGGGGGGGGGGGGGGGGGGGCGAATATTCCCAAGACGTCATCAGGGGAAGAGGGAGAGTAGTATTCATACTGAGTATTTGTGGAGGAGGAGGAGGAGGAGGAGGAGGAGGAGGAGGAGGAGGAGGAGGAGGAGGAGGAGGAGGAGGAGGAGGAGGAGGAGGGGGAGGAGGGGGAGCCCCCGTGCGGGGCGGCAGCTCGGCCCCGCGAGGGGAAGCGCAGCGTGTGCCGCCTGGCTCGTGTGTCGGGCATGCTCCATCTCGAGGGGGGGGACTTCGGCAGTGCCCGGGAGCCGGCCCAGAAGGACATCAACCACGCAGGGTCCTCACGCGTCAAAAACATATCAGTTTTTAAACAATATTTCCTGTGCTCGTGTTTCTGGGGATCCAGGGTGGCCGCTCCTCCTTCGTCGTCTGATCTGTCAGCACGCTCAAGTTTTTTGGGGCTCGAGGGATTCGGGCACGGGCTCTCGCTTTCGCCCCCCCTCGCCGTCTGGAACGAAATGGGGCGAAGTGTTACATGCCGTCTGGAACGGCTGTCGAAGTCTTGCCTCCAGGAAGATGTTACGGTGAAGGGGCATGGGGGGCAGGTCTCACCCGCAGACACGCGACTCACGAAAGCGACGCGAAAGAAGGCAGCTGGCGCAGCGAAAACGCCTGGGACGGTTTTCCGCCTTGGCGGCCAGCATACGCTGGTCGGGATGTGGACCGCGACTGCCGTTTGGCCCGCACGCTGACAGCATCCAGGCGGCACGGGGGTGGGAAGAGTGCGAGGCCAGCAAGAGAGAATTGAGCAAAGGAGTCGCATTGATCCTCCCCCTGGGAAGGCGGGCGAATACGATAACGGGAGCGGAGGAGGAGAAACAGGAGGAAACAAGGATGTGAGGAGGATTGGAAAGTGCAGAGGAAGGGATGCTGGCGGGGAAGAGGAGGAGGAAGAGAAGGAGCAGGAGCAGGAAGAGATAAAGTAAGAGGAGGACGGGAAGAGACGAGGAGAAGAGCAGGACATAAGGGGGACGGGGAGGTGGAGCGCCTGGCACCAGGCTGAAGAACATGGGAAGGAGTGGAGAAAGGAGAGCAGATGGACGGGGCAGACATCAATTCTGGCACTGGGCTGCCCGAGAAGCAGCGCGGTGCCGCTGCTGCGCCGAGCATCAATTCACACGTCGGCATGCACAGCTCGCGCGAAGCAGCTACAGATCGGGCCCTTCTGCGAAGCCGAGGCTCGAGAATGGCGGAGCCACGTCTTGGACGGGGCACGCTCCTCGGTCGAGCACGCACTGGCAGGGCGAATTCTACCTGAAACTCGCTGCTGGCGAGAGGCTGGTGGGAACAACCATCAAAAAACAAAATGACAGGCGGCATGACTGGGCAAACTAGATACGGAGCCTACAGGGAGATGATCGCGGCGGGTTCAGAACAGCTCACCAATACATCTCGTTGCTACCAGTGGCCTGGAAGGAAATCGGCAAGAGATGTCACAACTCAATGCCGTGCTTTCTTTACATAATCGATTCGCCACATACACACAGGGCCGCGCGCACGCACGCACGCACGCACGCACGCACCCGCACCCGCACCCGCACCCGCACCCGCACCCACACACACACACAAACACACACACACACACATATCGCGGATTGAATGCATGCCTGCTGTCTCATGAGGTTTCTGAAACGCTTTTTCAGCCACCCCTCCTCCCCTTACCCGCGCGTGAGATCAAAACATGCCCCCCTGATGCTGCTCTGTGGTGCCCTGCAAGATGGACCAAGAAGGCAGCAAGGGGCCAAAAGACAGTCCAAAGACAACACCACGAGCCCCCCAAGAGACCCAAGATCACCCGAAGATGCCCCAAGAGGCCCAAAGGAGGCTCCGAGGGACGCCCATGAAGGCCTCCCACGAAATCCCCTGAAGGGGATAGATACATTACGGTCGAGAACTTCTGCTTACCGCGACGCGGCGGCGGCCGCGACACGGCATGCCCTGCGCGAGGATGATTTGTGGCTCCGCTCCACGGGCCGGGAGGCCGGGGGAACAGCTCCGAACGTTGACGCTCGAGGACCGGGGCGTGCCGCGCCGAGGCGTGGTGGGCAAGGACCCGCAGCGCGGCACGCTCAGCAGTCCGGCGCCCCCCGCCTGCCGGAGGAGAAGCGGCGCGCAAGGTGATGGGCTGTCGCCCCTCCCCCCCCTTGTCCCTCCAATGGAATCCACAGCCGCATTTGGAGAAGGGGGGGGGGGCGGGTCGGGGAGGGGGGGGGGGGCCGGGCTCATCAACGCTCCCCCAGGGACCTCGGAGCCTCCACATCCGCCCTACGCGGTCGCCAGGGACCAAGATGGCTCCGAAGATGTTTCCAGAGGAGCTCCAATGCCCCAAAGAGAGGCCTCAAGAGCACACAAGACAAGTCCAAGACATCCCAAGACGTCGAAATCAAGCTCAAACAGGACTCCACGCAGAGAGCCTCAAGAGGCGAATCGATGTACAATCAGTGGTTGCAAGATTTTCGCGTTCTCGGTGGCTGACGTCTGCGCGCTCAAGACGGCCCAAGAAGCCCCCCAGACTGGACCAAACCGGCCCTATAGACCCTCAAAACGGCCCAGAGACGGCCAAGAAGGGCCCCAAGACGACCTCAGAAGCGCCCAATGCGGCAAAAACATATTCGAATGTGGCCCCAGGAGAAGCCCAAGAGGGGGAACCCGCAGAGGACCTGGGAGCACTCCCCCAGAAGATGGCCCAAACAAAAACCCCAACTGGCTCCAAGAGGCTCCCAAAAAGCCTCAACACGGCGCCGGTCGTCCGATCGTTCTGTGAGCGCTTGCGCGTGTCTCGCCTCTCCCTGCTGCCCCTGCCTGCCACGGATCTCGCTTTCTTTGATCGCTGCCCTCCTCCCCCTCCCCTCTTCCTGCCCCCATCCCGCCGCCTCTCCCTCGTCTCCGTTCGCATTCCTCCTCCTCCTCCTCCTCCTCCTCCTCCTCCTCCTCCTCCTCTTCCTCCTCCTCCTCCGTCTCATTATCCGTCTCCGTCTCCGTCTCCGTCTCCGTTTCCGTCTCCGTCTCCGTCTCCTCCTCATCCTCCTTCTCCTCCTCCTCCTCCTCCTCCTGCTCCTCCTCCTCCTCCTATTTCTTCTTCTTATTATTGATGATTAATATAAGCTGTCTTATTATTTTTCGTCTCTTCCTCCTCCTCCTCCTCCTCATCCTCCTCCTCCTCCTCCTCCTCCTCCTCCTCCTCCTCCTCCTCCTCCCCCTCCTTCCGCGCGCGCTCACGCGCGCACGCGGGAGGACGGAGCGGGGCGGCGAGGACGAGAAAGCCGAGCGGAAAACAAGGCGGAGGAGAAGGGAGAGAGGAGGGGGCAGGGAGGGATACGCTGCAAATGTTGATCACGACTCTGACGACGTTGACGACGCTGGAGACGTCGACGCTGGTGATGACGACGACGACGACGACGACGACGACGACGACGACGACGACGACGACGACGACGACGACGACGCCCCCGCCGCCGCCGCCAATACCATCATTACCGCTACCGTCGGACCCAGGCCAGAAGAACATCCCTTAAGAACACGAGACCCTCCGCTGGCCAAAACAAACAGAACACATCCGAGGGTACCCTCCCCGGAAAGAACATCCACCAGACACGAAGAAAACTAGGGCACCTTCCCCGGACCGACCTCGATCTCATACCTCGGTCCGACTGTACCGAGGAGGACGAGGATGAGGAGGAGGAGGAGGAGGAGGAGGACGAGGATGAGGAGGAGGAGCGCCCGTACCACCAGAGGGTGCACGGGCTCAGCGGCGGCGCGCCGGGCCGCTCAGAGTGGCTGTAGAAGTAGTTGTCGACGGTGGAACCTTGACCCGCTGCGCCGCGACCCTCGCAGCCGCGACTGCCGCGTCAGGTGGTTGGGCGTGTGCACCTGGACGGTGTCGTAGAATGTTGTGGATGTGGTAGAGGCGCGCCAACCGTGCTACAGTCTGCGGCAGGTTGTTCTCCACATCCTCGGCGTCTTGGTATGCTTGTTCTTCGCCGAGGCCCAATCTGTGTAGCACAGACGAGTGCGCGAATGACCACGTCGCCTGGCAGACCGCCCACCAGGCCCCGCGACAGGTCAGGTAGTGAGCAATCTCGTCGTTGCAGCCCTCGCAACCGAACCGGCAGGGCAAATGGCGGATGCCGACGTGCATCCGGAAGGACGTAGGCCAGGCTCCGGCCAGCGTGCGGTAGTTTGCCCACAATACGCCAGGGGAAGAAACCGAGAGCTGGTGACGAAGGCGCCGCCACCGGCCCGCCAGATCTGCCGGAAGTGCGAGCATAGGCCACCAAGTCTTGATCCTCTTGGCAATCGTGACGTGGAACATCTCGGGGTAGAGGGCGGCCGAGGCCGCCTCCCGGTGAACGCGTTGGAGGTGGGGGTGCCGGTCGTGGAGGGCAGCTTCCCGCAGCTCAGCCTTGGCCGCACGGTTGGCCAGCAACAGGGCTCCTTGCCTCTTACGCCGGAGCCGTTCGCTTGGTGCCGGCACCGTGCCGGAGTCGACGGCGATGAGATATTGCACCATGGATTGGGGCATAGCCCAATTGGCAGAAGTCCAGTTCCCTGCAATCGCCATCGCCGGCGCGAGGTCATCGAAGACGCGCTCTCTCCATGCTTCCGCGAACTCCCTCCAGCCGCTGAGGGTGGTGTTTCCCGCGCGCCAGGCTGCGGCCCAGGCCGAAGGTAACAACGGAGATAAAGTCGGAGACGAAGACCACATACTCATGCCGAAGAGGTCGGAGAGGCTGAACGATTTCGGAGGCGCCTTCAAGATACAGTGCAATACGTCGATTTCCGCCTTTAGCAAGGTTTCCGGAAGCGGGAGGAGTTGAGACAGGTACGACAACACCGTGATTGCAGAAGTGTTGTAAAGCTTGACCACCTCGACGGTGGTCGCGGGAGTTCTCCTTAGGATGGCCACCCGGGATCGGTACTTGTTCGAGGCTTCCAACCAGGAGTCTTCGAGGGTCGCACCTGGTCCAAGGACAAATCCAAGGTACTTCGCCGCGGACTCGATCGTGAAGTCTTGCCATTCCGGGACCAACTCGGTCAGATCTGCTCGGATCGAGTCTCGGGCAAGAGCAAGCTGGGCCGTCGACAGCCATAGCGGGACCAACACGCACTTCTTCGGCTGCAGGGAGAGGCAAGCCAACCGGCTCATGGCACCAAGGTGCAGGGCGAGAGGACGAATAGATGCCAGCTCCCAGAGCACCACCCCAAGATCGCCAGCACAAAGTCCGAGCTCTGCGTCGCGGCCTGGTCCAACCAGCAGGTCCTCGCGTCGCGGGCGAGCCAGCAGGGATCGCGAGGATAGGCCGAGAGCTCCTGACGTGGCCTCGACAAAGGGGGCGGTAGTGAGGGCCCAGATCGCGCCCGAAAGAGGGCAGCCTTGAGCGACCCCCGTCAGCACTTGACAGAGGTAGCACGACTTGGCGCCCAAACGGGTCCAGCAGTGCTGCTCGTTATACAGGGCAGTGATCAGGTTGATGTATGTCGAAGGGATGCCGAACTGCTCAATGGCTGCGAAAAGCCACGGCCACGCGAGAGACGGGAAGGCCGCCGCCACGTCGAAGGAGGCAAAGCAGGGCCGTCGGCGTCGTAACGAAGCCGCCTCGCCTAGCGATGCAATTCGAGCCTGTCCGTCCAATTTCCACACGTTGTTGAGGAAGTTCCGGCCACGTACAAATCCTCGTTGGACGTGCGGAACATACCGTTCAGCAACCTTGGCCAGGTAGATGTTCGCAGTCGAGGCCAGCAACTTGGCGTCGCTGTTCTTGAGGGCCAGTGGTCGCGTCTTACCCGGTTCGCGGGCGCATTCCGCCGCCGAGGGCGCCCCGTCAGCCTTCGGGGCAAACTGGAGCCATGCGTGGTTGAGGTCATGAGGGGGGGCGCAGCCCTGCATCACGGCCAACATCATGTTATACAGAATGTGTAATGCGCCACGTGCCCGAGACCATCCAGAATACGGGATCCCATCCGGGCCGGGTGCTGTTGGTCGTGCGCGGCGTGCTGCTGCTTCCATGTCTCGGAGCTCTGGTAGTGGCAGTTGAAGATCTGGCAACCGAGGAAAGTGAAGCTGTAGATAGTCGTGTATTTCAGCACGCGGGACTTCTTTGGCCGCGAAGATGGGCTCCCAGTGCGCCCGGAGAGCCGACGCCATCCCCAGCGGGTCCGTGATAGTCGCAGGCGTGGTTGTAGACGAGGTGGCCGCTGTGGCCGGATGCGCCGGTTGCAGTATGCCTACCAAGATCTGCGTGCTGTGGAAGGGACGCCATAGCTGAGCTTTTTGCCGTGTCCGCCACACGCGGCCTTTCCAGTAGGCGCCGGCATCGTGGGCGCCTCTCTGATGAGCGGCGGCGGCATGAAGCTGAGCGTCAGCACGTTGATGATCAAGAACAGATGTGGCCGCCTGGCGCATGCGGGAGGCAAAGGCGTCAGGGTCGAGGAGAACAGCCCCTTCATCGCCGACCTGGAAGTACTGGGCAGCAATCGGGGCAGTCGCGGTGAGTAAGCCCAATGTGCGTACGTCTTGCCGCCAGTACGCGCGCGCAGCAGACCGGAGCACGAGGAGTGCAGCGTCAGGATACGCTTGATGAGTCGCCAGGTCAGGCTCGTGGAGAAGTAGGTTGCGGGTCAGTCTCGCAGCCTGCTTGATGTTCGCCTTGGTGGCGCGCCATTGCTGGAAAACGTCGCCGTCGTGGAGCACAGACGCCGCCTGGAGTTTGTCAAAGCACGCCGCATACAACGGCTCACGGAAGATCCACTCAGGCATTGCCAAATCTTCCCGGCGAGGCGCGATTGCATTACCCAACTGTAGTTGCACAATGCCGTGGTCGCTGAGCCGGCGGTCGGAGAGCGAAGCCGGGTCGTAGATGAGCGACGCTTTGACGTCGACTCCAAAAATGGCGTGCGGCGGCAGGGACACGAAGAACTTATCCAAGGTGTTGGCTCTGTGACGCTTGGCATCGTAGTGGGTAGGTTGGTCAAGACGGATCTGCAACATGGGCCCAGTAAGCTGATCCCAGAAACGAGGAACCGCTTGATCACGTCTCGCCTCATGTCGCGGCAACCGGGCGGGATCGAGATAGCTGAGGTTGGCGCCGTCGTCGTAGTTGAAGTCGCCGGCGGCCAAGAAGAGCCGCGTCTTCGGGCGAGCTTGCGCCCACCTGCGCGCCGCGCGCCAGGCAACGGCAACCTTCCGCCTGTCTGATGATATCAGGCCGTGATTGTGAACGTTCATGAAAGCGATTGCATGGGAGGGCCCGTCGTAACACCCGCGCGCCTGGTGCGGCGGTGGAGAAGAGGGCCCGGCAGGAGACGACCAGGTAGAGGCAGAGGATCGCCGAGAGGAGCCTGAGGAACGCGATGAGGTGGAGGAAGAAGAAGGTGAATAAGAAGAAGAAGAAGATGATGATGATGATCTCGGTGGTGATGACATTCTTGAAAATGGAGAGCAAGACCTGTGAAGATCCCGATCATCCGGTGACCTGTAGTCGTCCTCGGGGGGGCAACGTAGGTCACCGGCCTCCGGCGAGATGCCACTGGAGTCGTGCGCGACGTGTAAAATCGCAACCCTGCCAGGTATGATGACGTCCATCCATGCATGCTCGCGTATCGGTCCAGGTAGAGTGCCCCTGGGAATCAAGAAAGCGAGGCCGCCAGCTCGCGTCGAGTTCTCGCATCCGGAGTAGAAGACGTCATAGTCCCATGGCAGCGCCGAGAGCCAAGCACGAAAACGATCTTCATCACCGTGAGCTTCCTGAACTAGAATGATGGCGTTTGCCCTAAGATGCCGGTGTAGTGCTGATAACTTAGTGCGTCTGCGTCTCCTGGAGGAGCACACCAGGCCCCGGGCGTTCCAAGTGACCACCGAGAGGGGCCGTGAGGAAGGAGCCCAGGGAGCCCACGCGCGCTGGTCAGGACCACTGCACTTCAGCCGGGGCCTCGAAGATGCGCTTGAACTCGGCCTCAACGCTCTCCTTGCAGATGGCAACTCTGTCAGCCTCTGGGTGGTTCCATTCGATCTTGGAGGGGGTGTCGGGGACGTCGGGTACCAGTACACGCGCCACCGGTATGCGATCCAGCTTGACTTCCCCTTTAGATCGATTCGGCCAGAAGGCCAGTTTGGGGTAGGAGCGTTCCAAGATCTGTTTGAGACGTTTCGTCTGGAATTCCATCCTTTGCGTTCGGGGGGATCTGTCGGGGTTGAGGTAGAGGGGGCCGATGGCGCCTGTGACGGACGTGGCGGAGAACTCCTTCCACTTGCCCGTGATGGTTTTGAGGGCCTTGCCGAGCTCTGTGGCCTTGTGGTTGCCCACCACGCCGCCCTTGACCTCGATGTAGAAGCGCCTTGCCGGAGTGTCGCCATGAAGTGTGATGTCGTCCATAGATACTCCAGCATCTTGCGTCCACGACTGAAGAGCGTCTCGAACAGCATCTGGAGCCGTCTCCAACTTGGCGTTGACAGTGAAGACGTTCGGCTCCGGGGGCCGGACCCAGATGGAGAGGCGGATCGCGTCCGTGAGGCCAGCAGCCTTCTCGGCGATGCGGAGTGCCTTCTCGATTTCTTGGACCCGGCCCTTGAGCTCTTCCTGCTGCTTTGCTGTGTCATCCGCTTTCTGGGCGCATTGCCGCACGTCGTCCTGGATGAACTTGAGTTTTTCGTCGTACTTCTCCGAGTACTTGACCACCACGGAGGCCAGCTCATTCTGGGTGGACGTGGTGATGTCCTTGCACGCTGTTTCAAGCTTCTCGGTGGCGTTGGCGAGGATGTTGGATAGAGCTCCGCGGACCCCTTCAGGTAGGGAGTCCATTGAGGCCTGGAGTTTGTCGGAAGCGCCCCCGGGTGTTGGCCCAGAGGAGGCCGCGAGACCGCCTGCGGGTGCGCCCGGGCCAATGGCGCCGCCAGCGGCGGTGCCCTTCCAAGGATCGGCAGCGTGAAGGGGATCAGCAGCGCCAGCTCCGCGCGGGGACTTGCCGTCGCCGCCGCGGCGTGGCGATTTGGACCGCGCCGCCTGAGGATGCCCGCCAGCGTCGCCAGGAGGAGCACGGCCGCCCGCAGGAGGTGGCATCGCATGAACTGTGCTCCAACAGGAGCTCACAAAAGCTGTTCTGTGCGGGGCGGACCGCGCAGCACTCTCCGAGGGGCGGACCTGGTGAAGTGTTTGAAGACTCTGCTCGGACTAGAGCAATCCCTTGGCTCTTGAGCTTGAGCCAAAATGGCTTGAGCCAAAATGGCTACGGAGGATGAGGAGGAGGAGGAGGAGGAGGAGGAGCAGGAGGAGGAGGAGCAGGAGGAGGAGGAGGCTCCCTGGCCCTCTCCGGGGCGTCGCCGAGGGCCGCCCCGAAGCCGGCCGAGGCGGAGCCTGGCGGTAACAATCGGACCACTGCGCCGGCACCTTGAACGGGTGGAACGCGACCACCTCTCCGCGCGGGCGCCGCGCGGCCCCCCGGCCGCCCTTCTCAACACCGGCCCTCCCTCCTCCTCCTGCGGCCTTCCATGCGCCCCTTCCATCCTCCATCCGTCCTCATCCTCCACCCTCCATGTGCTCCGTATATCCTGCATTCCCCCTGACTCCTCCATCCTCCTCCCTCCCTCCCTCCCTCTTCACCACCCCCCTCCCCCCTTCCTGTCCCCTCCAAGCTGGGTCGTTCCTACCTGAACAGCCCCAGGGCCCCCGTGAGGGCCCCCAGAGGCCGAGAACAGCCAAAAGCCTCACGTCGCTAGCTTTTCACGGCGCGGGGGGGAGTCTCCGTGGTCTGGGGTAAAGGTCTACCTCTGTGCCCATCCTGGGGTGCGCTCTGGGCGGAATATCGAACAAAAAGGGAATCCGGTTTGGGCACTGGGAGCGTCCGAGGAAGGGCACAAACACCTCAAAGCCTCGATCCCCAAACATTGAAGAGAACGATCGCCCTGGCGAGGCTCAGTAGACGAGTAAAAACTGCATAAGCATGAACTTCCAGAGGTCCGAGCGGATTGCTGGCATCGGCGCTGGACTGCTCATGCCGTTGCTGCTCCTTCGACTCGCGCTCCGGAGCCGCGCGGAGTGCCTCTCGTAGGGGCACCGCGGGAGGCGGCGCAGGGGTGCTGAGACCGCCCCGGACTACCCGGGCGGGCCCGTTGAGGCCAGCTGGAACTCCTCGGGCGGGCCCGGGGAGGCCCGCCGGGTCTGCCTGGGGGGGGGGCTGCCTGCGCGCAGCCTCCTCCTCCTCCTCCTCCTCCTCCTCCTCCTCCTCCTCCTCCTCCTCCTCCTCCTCCTCCTCCTCCTCCTCCTCCTCCTCGCAGCTGCCCCGATACGCAACACGCCACGCGTGGCGGAGCTCCACACGTAGACCGAAAGCACTCGCTTGGCGCGACGCGCCCGCGACAACGCGCAGCCGACACGCCGAGCCGACACGCGGCGTGCCGGCACGTGCACCTCTCGAGCACTGTACGCGTTGCGTTTCGACACGCGCGCCTCGGGGCAGCTGAGCCTTCCCAGGGACGGCCGCCCTGGCCAGGCTCACGCTCCGGAGCCGCGCGCAGGTGGCGTCCGCTTGCTCGGACGCCACCTGCCGCACTCGCTGCCGGGACGCACGCAAGCACTCGCAGGGGCCCGTCGAGGGGCTTACGCGACGGCGGAGGCTCTCGCCCGCCTCCGTGGCCCTTCGCCTCCTCCACCTCGGCTCCTATGTCACCTTGGCCTCCTCCTGTTCGTGTTCCTGCTACTCCTCGTCCTTCTCCTGCCCCTCCTCATGCTCCTCCTCCTCCTCCTCCTCCTCCTCCTCCTCCTCCTCCTCCTCCTCCTCCTCCTCCTGCTCCTCGAAGCTCGAAGCTGGCAGCCTTTGTCCTGCAGGCAGGTGCAGCCGTCATCATCATCAGCAGCACCATCATAATCAGTTTCATAAGCAGTGCGACCACCATCATCATCCTCATCAGCATCAGCATCAGCATCAGCATCAGCATCATCATCATCATCATCATCATCACCATCATCATCATCATCATCACCATCACCATCACCATCATCATCATCATCATCATCATCATCATCATCATCATCAGCATCAGCATCAGCATCATCATCATCATCACCACCAGCATCATCATCAGCATCACAATCAGCATCATCAACAGCATCAGCATCATCATCCTCATCAGCATCAGCATCATCATCCTCATCATCAGCATCATCAACAGCACAAACATCATTATCATCATCGTCATCATCATCATCATCATCATCATCATCGTCATCATCATCATCTGCAGCAGAAGCAGCATCAGCACACTCAACAGCATAAGCGTCGTCATCGTCATCATCATCATCGTCATCAGCATCGGCATCATCATCAGCATCAGCATCAGCATCAGCATCAGCATCATCATCATCATCACCACAAGCATCATCATCATCATCATGAGCAGCAGCATCATCATCGTTATCAGCATCACATCCATCGTCATCATCATCGTCGTCGTCGACATTGTCATCGTCACCGCCAGCATCACCGTCAAAATCCTCAACATCGTCATTCCAATCGGCACCATAAACATCATCATCCGCATCATAATCATTAGCATCATCATCAGCATCAGCATCGTCAGCATCATCATCACCATCGCCCTCGTCATCAGCATCATCAGCATCATCATCAGCATCATCGTCATCCTCATGAGCATCGTCATCATAATCATTATCATCATCAACATCAACATCAACATCAACATCAGCATCATCATCATCAGCATTATCATCATCATAATCCGAAGCATCAGCATCATTATCAGCATCACCAGCATCATCTTCATCGTCATCGTCATCGTCATCGTGATCGTAATCATCATCAGCGCCATCAGCATTACCATCCTCCTCAACAGCATCATCGTCATAATCATCACCATTATCAACATTACAATTACCATCACCATCATCATCATCAGCAGCAGCAGCAGCAGCATCACAATCACAAACACCATCGCCATCACCATCACCAGCAGCATTGTCATCATCGGCATCAATTTCGTCATCATCCGCATCCCTCTCCTCCTCATCAGCAGTAGCAGCATCATCATTGCCATCATCATTGTCAGCAGCAGCAACATTGTCCCCCATTCCTGGTACCCCATCATCCTCGTCATCGTGGTCATTACCATCACCATCTTGGTGATCACAAGCATCACAGTCGTCATTATCATCAGCAGCAGCACCGAGACCAATATCACCCCAAGGCGACCCTCAAGAGGGCCTTCAAAAGACAAAATCACTTACTCAAATTTGTCGTTCCACCGAATTCCTGGTTCTCTCCCTTCCAAATTTCAAGGCGCCCACGACAACTCAAGAGGCACTCAAGATCACCCCAAGAGGCCACCCAAGTGCCCCAAGAGAACCCCAAAACAGCCCAAGAGGGAAACGGTCCAAAAGCCCCCCAAGACGGCACCAGACTCAAAGCCCGACCAGAGGGCGCGAAGATGAGCCCCAAATCAAGAAATTCAAATTGGCTTTCAGAGCCCCTCACTCTCAGATAGCCCAAAGAAACACCAGAGGCCCCGAAGGCATCTTCAAAGAGCCCCAAGAAGCTTCCAAGAGGCCCCCAAGAGACCACCCAAAGCTTCGAAGACCTCCAGAATGACCCCAAGGAGCTTCCCAGACAGCAGAACGTCATTGCAGTCTCCTTCTCCTTTTTACGTTGGTTGGTTTCCCTCTTCAAAGAGCCCCCAAGATACCCCTACGACGGACCCAACGGCATCCAGGAGGCCCACGACGTGACACGACATGACGAGATTCCCCCAAGAGGGCCCTGAAATGGCCCGGTGACGGATACGGCCTTCACGCCCAGGCCCCCCGCGGCGGGAGGAACCCCAAGGGCTCCAAGGGGCCAGCGGTACGGCGCAAGCCTCAGAGCTACCCTCCTCACGGGACAAGGAGAAGGAGGAGGAGCAGGAGGAGGAGGAGGAGGAGGAGGAGGAGGAGGAGGAGGTGGAAAGGGAGGGATGGGGAGGGGAAGTGGAAGGAGGAGGGGGAGGGTGGGGGAGGAGGAGTGGGAGGCGGGGTGGGGGGGAGGAAGGAAGGAGGAGGAGGAAGAGGAGGAGGAAGAGGAGGAGGACAAGTGCAAACCCAAGACTCATCAACGATGTTGGAATAGACTCTCCCTCCAAGTCATCTTATCATAGAACCCTACAAAGATTCATTTCCACTGCGGGAACTGCCTCGTTGGGAGACAGCCGTTTGAAGACCCTGAAGCGCACACAACACCATGTTCGGGACTCTACCGCCACGAATGCAAATCAACATAACTGATGGCCCGTGACAGCCCTGAACCCCTGCAATTCATGGGAATCCGTGAAACGTCAAAGAGCGCGCGCGGTGCTGAAGCGAGAGCCACTGTTCGCAAACCGCCCGCCCTCAAGCCGTAAAGCTCTTGCAATTGTGGTAAGCGAGTGTACGCGGCACTCGGGCAAAAACCACATGTTGAAAAACATCCGTCCTCAACCAGTGAAATTGTTGAAACTGTTCTAAACGGGTATACGCGCCGCTAAGGCGAGAGGCGTATTTTGAAAACCATCCGCCCTCAATCCGTTAAGCTCTTGGAAAATGTTAAAACAAATGTGCGCGGCGCTAAGGCGAGAGCCACAGTTAAAAAACCACCCGCCCTCCATATGTGAAACTGTTGTCCACGTTGAAGCGCCAGGGTCATAAATCGTGAGGAAACCTCAAGCGAAACGCCCAGCCTGTCCTTTCGACTAGCCTCGGGGTGCGCCTAGGAGGAATTATTCCCAACCCTCCTGCGTTGGTTTCTCGTTCTGAATAGAGCACTGCGGTCGCACACCCCGTTCCTCCCGCCCCCTTTCACCTTCTCTCCTGTCTGTCACCTTGCTCCCTCCTGCGTGCAAGCATGCCTCCTGTCTGGCCATCCCTGTGGGGCTGCGGTATGAGAAACAGTGGCCACGTTCGAGGGCTGCTGGGGGGTCCAGCGGAGTGACGTCCCACGCAGTCTCTGTTTAGACCTCGCCCTTCCTTTGGGGCTGCGATCTGCAAAGCTGTCGCCACGTTCGGGGGGTGCTGTGGGATCCAGCGGAGCGACGTGCTACGCAAACTCAGAGTAGACCTCGTCGTCCCTGCGCGGCTGCGATCTGCGAAATTGTCGCCGTGTTCGAAAGCTGATGGAGGGTCCAGCGGAGTGACGTCCTTCGCAGACTCATACTCAACATCGCCATCCCTGTGGGGCTGTGCTCTGTGAAACTGTTGCCAGTTTCGAAGGCTGCTGGGAGATCCAACGGAGTGACGTCCCACGCGGGCTCATACTCAACCTCGCCATCCATGTGGGGCTGCGATCTGCGAAACTGTCGCCACGTTCGGGTGCTGCTGGGGGGTCCAGCACAGTGGCGTCCCACGCAGACTCAGATTACACCTCGCCGTCCCTGCGGGGCTGCGATCTGCGA